TTCTACAGGGTGGCTCAAAAAAGTGTGAGTGGACGAGGATAATTTTTATAAATGGAACACCCTGTATATTATTGCATTTTTGGATTTCTTTCAGATCATTTTACATAATCCTAAGATATTAATAAATATATTTCGATAGTTTCAGAGATATTAAATAATAAGTCAAAAATATATATTTTTCAGCCCTTCTTAAAAAAAAATATTAAAAATACAAGAACTGTTCTGAAATCAAAACTATATTAGGTATTTACTTTAGATGGTCTGTACTTACTTTGCTATAAATATAAATATCGTAAATCATACAGGATGTTCAAAATTCTACGCCAAACTTTCAAAAATATAAAATAATTTTTCTTCATTTTTTTAAATGGAACACCCTGTATATTATTTTTTCAATAAACGGAGAATTAAAAAATGAAAATTATTTCAAAATTTTTAACGGTTTCGCAGATATTTGGACTTTTATATTTCATATGGCATTTTCCACAGTAAATTTTTATCAAAGCCACCCAATGATTTTTCTCTCGTATTTTACCATTGAAAGCGCCATATGAAATAATACTGCGAATATCTACGAAACCGTTAAAAATTTTGAAATACTTTAAATACAAAAAATGATCATTTTTAATTCTCCATCTAATAAAAAAATAATATACAGGGTGTTCCATTTAATAAAACAAAGAAAAAATATTTTATATTTTAGAAAGTTTGGCGTAGAATATTGAACATCCTGTATGATTTACGATTACCATATTTATAGCAAAGTAAGAACAGACCATCTAAAATCAGACCAGAGAATCTGAAACTGTCGAAATATATTTATTCATATCTTAGGGTTATGTAAAGTGATCTGAAAGGAATCCAAAAATGCAATAATATACAGGGTGTTCCATTTAAAACAAATCATCCAGGTTCACTCACACTTTTTTGAGCTACCCTATAGAAGTTAAAATATTTTCCTGAAATACATCCTGATACATACTTTAGGTTTGCACTTAAAGAAAATTCTCAAGTTTTTTATTCTAGGAGCTACAGATGCCCGACGCACTATTGCCGGACCCTGTATAATAAGTATTAGAATTAAACTACCTGTCATGCATTCAATTGTTTTCCATGATTCAAAATAATTTATCATGGTATCATAAAAATTGTTTTATTTTTTAAATAATAATTTAAGTTTTTCAAAAATAATCATAATTTTGTCAAAAAAGTTGAACAAATTAGGAATTTACCGAGTGGTTAACTTTAACAGTGAATAACTTTTGAAGGAGTAGGTTCATTGAAAAGTTGTAAGGAATCATTTTTGTAAAGTGTTCAATTCTGTACAATAAATTGTAATTGTCATGGATACGAGAGAACATGATCGAGAGAAAAAAAAATATTTGCAAAAAGTGGCAAATTCCCATGTAATTCAAATGGGAAATGAATCGCCTGGGGCAAGGTTTATTGCTAATGTTAATTAGACAATAAACTAAAACTTTAGAGGGCGTCGTGAGAGAATTCATCAACTTTGTAAATAACGGACACCCTACTGCACATGCAGGATGCAGGTAGTCATAACACCAGCTTTAAGAGAGCTCAGAATACGACTAACATAAGATAAGAATAAATATGTACCTTGGTAACGGCACAGATTTCTATGTATATGTCGCAGGCGTATAGAATAATTCGGCTTTTTGCAATAAGACTAGGCGTATTATAAAACTCCGACTTTTTACACAAAAAAAGGAATTTACAAAAAGCCTGCCTATTTCCAGTCACTTTGCAAAAAGCCTAATCCGAATTAGGCATATTAAACAATGATTATATTTTCTGTACACTTCTGCAAAAAGACTGCCTGTTTTTAGTCATTTTACAAAATGCCAAATCGACCAAAAAAAGTGACCAAACTTTTATGTAAATCGCCAGGCTGGGTGTGAATAAGCTGTGTGTATTATCAAGTTTCATAAATATCTGATTTACTTGATTTTTTACTGATCATTTTGTTTAAATTAAAACTTGTTTGAAAATAATTATTTTGATGTTGATATTTACATCTGACAGTTTGGTATACACTTTGAGTAGCATATCAACAAACTTAGGTGGAGCGAGATGAGGGATTGATATGGTTGACTTAAATTTCGATGTATTAGTGCCGTCCTAATTGATTTAAAACGTGTAATAATTTAAATTAAGCGTCACCACAATAATTGCTTAGTTTTCCCCTTTACGTTGTATAACATAAAATAATCTCCAAAAAGTTTAACATCGGTGTGCCAAATGAAACGTCAAACGGAACTGTCGTAACTGTGGGTTTATGATGTCGATTCTGTCCCTAATGCATGAATACATGAATAGCATTTTACTCCTTCCTTATTTTTTTTTATTCAAAATGTATATCTCGCAGGCATACACATATCGAATAACTTGCAAAAGCAAAAAGACTAGACATTTTATAAAACGCCGGCGTTTTTAACAAAAGAAGGATATTTACAAAGAGCCTATCTGTGTCAGTCGTTTTGCAAAATGCCTAATGAAGACTAGTCCGATTGCACAAAACATTTTACGCGGGATTGGTCTAACTATAACCTAAATTTATCCAAGGACATTTCTTAAACTAATCACAAAAAGTGATAATTCTTTTAAATAGAGTACGGTTGAGGATAATTATTATTATAAAGATCTAAATTCATTTTATTCTATATTTATAAGTTCCACAGAAGAAGCAGCCCTGTACACAGAATCAAATTACAGAGTATAATAATTAAATGAGCTATTAATATTACGGTTTTAATATATTTTGTATTTAAAATTATGTTATTTATAATTAAAATTTATGAAATAGCGTTCAATTGTTTGTTTCAGTTATTTTCGACTAAACATAATAAAATTTTGACATAAATAATTATTGTTTTTGTATAGGAAAATATGGGCACAGATATGGGGTATTTTTATTAAAGCGTAAATTGTATTATTCAATATGCTTATGCTCATAGCTGACTAAAGTTTGGACATTTTTTTAATCTGCCTGGCCTCGATTCTCGATTTGGCATTTTGTAAAATGACTAAAAACAGGCAGTCTTTTTGCAGAAGTGTACAGAAAATATCATCATTGTTTAATATGCCTAGTTCTGATTAGGCTTTTTGCAAAGTGACTGAAAATAGATAGGCTTTTTGTAAATTCCTTTTTTTGTGTAAAAAGCCAGAGTATTATAATACGCCTAGTCTTTATAGCCGGATTATTCTATACGCCTGCGACATATACATAGCAATCTGTGCCGTTTTGTCCTATATCGTTTACTGTACAGTAAATTTAAAGTAAATTACATATTACAATGTAGAATGTAGAATGAGTGGAAGAGGGTTAATCACCGCGACCTTAAAAATCTATCGTGTCCCCCCTTTTTTTAGTTATAACTCATAATAGAGTCTACAACTCATCATACATGGGAATCTTTCTATTGTAGAGGAGACAGGGTTATTTCCCATTTCCCGCCCTCCTCTTACAACAGCTGTTCATCTTGTGTGCGTTGATGATTCGCCAACTCGATGTCCTTGCATTTTCTGACAAAGCTGGTGATATATCGCAAAGGTTAATCGGTTCACTTCTACAAAGCTCTGCATGGTAGAACTATGGGAGACGAGAATACAATAGGTTGCCTCCAGGTGCTCCAAGTTTCAGACCAGAAGGGGCTAGTCTTTTATCTAATTACGCATCCCTTTGACCTGGTCCCGCCATCGTAAGATTTATGTTTTTGGCGTTTTGGTTGTCTCCTCTTGGTTCGGGCGGTTAAGCCAAGATGGATAGTATGACGGGTATGACGGATAGGGTATTCCCATGCGGCACACGTTTTTGTGAAATTCCCTGGCCACGACACTGCAGCCAGTGACAAGACAGTGAGATGCTCCTTTGACACAGCCAGAGGAGATTCCCGCTAGCACCTGACTAGGAGCTTCACCAACATCGACAAGGTCTTGCATCTAATAGAGGAATAAAAGAGAGTATACTGTTCATTTTGCGAAGTTTGAAACTTTTGTCATAATTTTCGGCGCCATATTGCTTTTCACGTATTTCCTGACTTGGTCCATAAGTTGTAAATTAACAATAACAAATTTAGTAACAAAATATTAAACAATGACAAATTTATTGTAGCCTACCCGCAGTATACAATCAATAAATACATCCTCTAATTATATGTTCATGGATCTTATAAGCAGGAATTCCACGGGACCAACGAATGTTGTGGCTTGTTTGCTGCTTTTTGTTCTTTATCTTTCACCATTTCTCTGGAAATCATTCTTGGTACAGTCGAGCATGAAATTTCTAAAGCCTCCGATGCTCTCTATGAAACACGTGAATATTTTGATTTAGTTACAAAATATTAACTCGGTAGTTGTCCAATTACATCGTAAACAGCCGACACAGGTAAAGGGGGTTTTCCAGTATCCTTTTGGAGTTTGAAATACTCGATAACTTTTAATATGAGCCGTTGTTCTTTTTCACTAACACGGGACGGCATTTTAGGCACAAATTAAGTCACAAATAACTAAATAAACACAGAAAATCCCATAAAAATATCAAAAATTGATAAAAATCCTCTTCGAAAAATTTACGGGAAACTATCGGATTCGTTAAAATTTAACGACAACTCTGACAGTCGGCGATCCGTATTGTTCGATTTCGGCCGATAATACAAATTCGATGTTTGCCTTTTTCTATTCGTGCACATTAGACAAGGAAGTGCGATCCTTTATATGCAATGAAGGTGATCCGTATGTAAAAAGAAAAAAAAATAATTGTACGATCTAAGAATTATAATGGATTTACGTTTTTGACGCAAAATTTCCATTTCATGTGATAAACATGGATAAGAGAGAGAATACCAATCTGTGACGAAAGTTTCAAACTTCGCAAATTGAACAGTACATTGTATTATATTATTTAAAATTTACGGTGATGAAATAATGCAATAGATCTCTATAGCGCAAGTTTGAAAAATCTTGAGATTCCTATTTTGGTGGGGTGTAGCAATGAAGTTAATGAGACAAGTGAAGTAAACAAAGTATATTAGTCGAGTGGTAGAGGTTGTAGTGTGTTATAGTTACAGGTGAATTTACATAAAAAAATAAAGTAAGTGAGATCTTTGATTACTAAAATTAGAAAATGCGTGAATAACATATTACAATTAATTTTTATTATTTTGTTTAAGTCTTCTATCAATTAAATTCATTTTAGTAATTTCGTCCATATGTATAATTATTTAATTTTTTTTTCTGTTTAGATGGGGCTTCAGACCGCAGTTCTATTTGCCCTTTGTGCTGTATGTTTGCAAAATTTAGTCACAGGTGAGCCTTCAAACTACCGAACTTACCGTATTCTTACCACTGGATCCAGATATTATCCAACGTATAACGATTATTACACATACCAGAGTGCTCCACAAGCATACAGGTACAGAGCTTTCTATAAGAATTCTAACATGAATTCGAAAAGAAAATTTGATAGTAAATTTATTCAGAAATAAAAAAATCTTTTTAATGGAACAAAAAATTGGAATAAAAATGAGTAATGTTTTTCAAACGTCAAAGTTGCAAAACCCGTCTTATTACTAACATTTTGAGAAAATCCGTTCTTTATTCATCAATATTTTGCTTGTTCTAAAATGACTAATTCTGTTTTTATTTATTCAAATATCTATACCGTTTCAGAAATAAGTAAAATTGAGAATATGGTTGACGTCGCCGTCGCCGTCGTTGCAGTAAAATCAATTCGTTTCTTATTACTAAGTATTAGTAATTTAAAAAAAAACATTAAGTGTTTGTTGTAGCGACCACCTACTCCATAAGACAAGCCTGCTTTTGTAATAAACAGTAATTATACAGGGTTGTTCACCACATACGACACGGAGTATTGCAGCTAAACGATGATATTTTTACAAATTGTAAGTTTGGGGTTCGTTGAAGGACTATTAGAGCTACAATTTAAAAATATTATAAGATACAGAGTGTCCCAAATAAATAAAAAATATCAGAGTTCTATTTTTTTAAATGGAACACCCTGTATATTATTGCATTTTTAATTTCTACGATTAAAATAAAGGTAAATTTGATTAAGGTTTATTACACTTAAACTTTACCGTTTTTGAAATATTTTCAATTTTGCGAAATTGCAGTATAAATTTTAAGGCTTCATCTCTCCGAGGATATCAAAGATTTTAATACTAAATATTTACTGAAGTTTACTTATTGATCAGTTATTGTGTTGCAATAATAAAAATTATACTACCTTATACAGAGTGTCTAAAAATTTATTTTAAATAATTACTAGCTTTAAACGGCAATAACTTATTTAATTTAAATAGAACACCCTGTATATTTTATGAAAATCAGATGCACAATTTAATTGTCTATCAAATTGTATTACACCACTTCTTACCTATTCCTTCAAGTTTTCGTAGAAAATGCATTTTCTTATAATTTAGACCTCATTTATCAATATATCCATGGAATATTGACATTTTAGATTGTTTTTAAAACAACAAATGTACAAAATGTACAGGCTAGTAATATTATCGTTTTTAGTAAAACGATAATATTAGTAGTTAGTGGCCCATTTGTATGCAAAAAGAAAACTATTTAAATCTTTATAAAAGAGTATACCATTAATTAAATATAAAACCAGTATTTCCGCCCAAATACTAATTAACTACATACTTAATTGTGTTCGTTAATAAATTATTCTAAATAAATCTGGATTTGAATCAGAAATCAATATAATAATAAGTTATGAAAATGAACGTCTCTGTTGTTATAAATAAGCCTTTGTCAAAAAATTAAATAGAATTTTTAAGGTGTTACTTTTTACCACACTGTCTAATACACATACATAATTCAGTTTTTTAGTATTTGGAGCAATTATTATTAATCAACGCAAACAGTCAATTAATGTAGTTTGAATAATAGAATCATATTAATTGGTCCTTTTTAACAAATATTTAAAGTTTTTTTTTTATTTTTTAATTAAATAAGCGAACGATATCGACAATTTTAGTATCTGTACCTTTGAAAATTTGGTACATCTTTAAAAATAATCTAAAATGTCAGTATTCCATGGGTATATTGATAAATGAGTTCTAAATTACAAGAAAATGCATTTTCTACGGAAACTTGAAGAGATAGGTAAAAAATAATACAATTTGATAGACAATTAAACTGTGCATCTGATTCTCATAAAATATACAAGGTGTTCTATTTAAATTAAACAAGTTATTGCCGTTCAAAGCTAGTAATTATTTAAAATAAATTTTTAGACACTCTGTATAAGGTAGTAAAGTTTTTCTTATTGCAACAAAATAACTGATCAATAAGTAAACTTCAGTAAATATTTAGTATTAAAAACTTTGATACCCTCGGAGAAATGAAGCCTTAACATTTATACTGCAATTTCACAAAATTGAAAATATTTCAAAAACGGTAAGGTTTAAGTTTAATAAACCTTAACCAAATTTACCTTTATTTTAATCGTACAAACTAAAAATGTAATTGGGAAAAAATTGTTATTTGGGACACTCTGTATCTTGTAAACATATTTTTAAATGGTAGCTCTAATAGTCCTTCAACGAACCCAAAATTTACAATTTGTAAAAATCTAGTCGTTTAGCTACAATACTCCGTATCGTATGTGGTGAACAACCCTGTATATATAATATATGACATTAATCAAAATTAGTATAATCATATAAAAGAATATTTTAAGCGTTTTGATTTTTTGGACTTTAACCATATTGTCATGTTTTTCTCTGTGCTCTAAAAATTGTGTGCAAATTTGGAAGTGTATAGAAAAAGGGGATCAGCAATTTTAGCAAAAAGTTTTATGAGCATTTTCATCAATATGTTAATAATAAAGATGTGTTCTCTTGTAAAGACGATCCAGAGACATACTGTAGAAAGTTTAAAAGTTGACCCCTGAATAAGAGTAAATATCATTTAGAATGAGAACTGCAAGTATCAAAAATGAAACAGTGACACTAAAAATTAAAACCGTTGATATTCTGACGAACTAACATAATATAGAATTGAAAAAAATCAGATTAATAATTACTACCTGATGATAGTTACCTAATGAATTAATGCTAAATTTAAAATGTCTGTAGGTATATGAAATATTTTTGTTCTTTTTGTATTTTTTTATTGAGGTTTATTATGTACTCTTGTATGTCAAAGAATCGACAGCCATTCTGCTAATATCGATAGACACCTAAACAAATATAGATAATGTATCGTTCCCTTTGATAAGGGATAAAATATTTCATATATTATAATGAAATTTTCATAAAACAAATAAATAATAATGTTAGACTCTCTTATGGCTTAACATAAAATCTGTTAAGAATCTCTCAGACATTCCATTTTTATTATCAAAACAAAACATAATTAATCAGATGATATAATTATAATACATAAGGATTTAAGTAAATAAATAATTTAATAAAACAGGTTTTTTATATTATGGGGTTAACCCATTGACCTTTAAAACTATTGTTTTCAAGAAATGTAGTTATTTTTGGTTTCAGTTTTTATTAGTGGAAAAATCATAAATGTGCTTGAATTATTGTAATAAAATGTAGTAATATACCATAGGATCGACAAAAAAAAAACGGCGTCAAAGACGGCTGGGAGAGTAACAATTGATGGTAATTTTGGCGAGATCAAGCCCTAGACGTCATTTACTGCGTCTGTAATCTTCTTTATTTCTTAATGGCTCTTACTGCCGAAGATTGTAATTTATTTTCGTATTGAATTTAAATGGCGTAGTTGACAATTCGACAATAAATATTTTTTTTTGGAAATACATTTGTGTGTCTGGAAATCTTTTATCATTTTTAGATCTTTCTACAATTAGATTTTTGACAAGTTTTATGTCAATTTTTAGTAAATGACGTCTAGAGATCGATCTCGCCAAAATTATAATGCCGAATTTTTTCGATGTATACGATTAGATTTTCAGAAATTGTGAATGCTGGGATGAAGGTATAAAAAATATCAAAGTTTTATTTTTTTAAATAGAACACCCTGTATATTATTACATTTTTAGTTTCAACGATTATAAATAAAGATAAATATAATTAAGAAAATAACAGTGGTATGTTTAATTGGTATACCTACTATTTTACAAAGATTTAAATAGTTTTCTTCTTGTAATCAAATGGGCTAGCAATATTATCGTTTTTAGCACCTGTATATTTTGTACATTTTTTATTGCTCTAAAAATATCTAAAATGCCAATATTCCATGAGTGTATTGATAAGTGACATCTAAATTATAAGAAAATGCGTTTTATACGAGAACTTGAAGAGATAGGTAGAAAATGGTCTAATATAATTTGAATGACCATTAAATTGTGCATCTGATCCATTTTATCATTCCATCCATTTAAATTAAACAAGATATTGCCCTTTAAAGTAGTATTTATTTAATGTAAATTTTTATTCACTCTGTATCACGTAGTATAATTTTTATTATTGCAGCACAACATTTAGTAAATAGAAAAACTTCAGTACAATATTTGGTTTTAAACTTAAATACGTCCAGAGAAACGAAGGTAATAAAATTAAAATTGTTACTGCATTTTTACAAAATCAAATCAAATTTACTTTATTTTAATCGTAGAAACTAAAAATATAATAATGTGTGCGGTGTTTCGTTTGAAAAAATGCAACTTTGGTATTTTTAATTTATTTGGACACTCTGTATCCTTTGAAAATAATTCTAAATTGTAGCTTTAGTAGTCCTTCAACAATCCCATTACTCACTATCTGAATAAAACCATTATAAAAATATTTAAAAGTTAAAAAAATATATTTGACAGGGCCATTTTATAAAAATATCTTTACTTTTTATATTTATCTTTCAGTAACAAAATTTCCAGACTTTTTACCAGAAGCATTAAGATTTCTGCTTTTCTCATTTTTTTTTCAATTTTTTGATACACTCCTTTTGAATCAATCTGCCACCCCCCATGTTTTACCTTATAATTTATAATAAAAAAGCTCTGTACCATATTATTACAGATACACATATTCGAGACCGATATACGACGATAAGGTTTATATAACGGACAGATATGGCAACACTGTAGCTCAATCGTCAAGCGATTACTACAGATACGTTCAAAGTACCAAATATGCCGATAGCGAACCCTATTGTGATCGATGCTACTATAGAGAAGGTTCTATTTTTTATAAATCAGTATATTTTTTATAACTATTGCATGTTGCACTTGCACAAATAAAATCTCATAATCATATAATTCAGTAAGTTCTTCATGCGTGACCTACATATTTAACAGAATTTTTGACCTTTCGTTGTTTTTTTAAGAGGAAGGTGCTACAATAAGAATGATCTTGTGATGTACATATAAGGGATTTTAATATAGGAGTAAGCTTAATGCACAAGGATATAGAACAATATAGAATTTATAATATGACGTTATTTTTATTACTCCATATATAGGTCATATAATGGGTTGATATACCTACCACATGATCTAAAAATAACGATGCAATTTTACAATCAGATTACCATTTAATTTTACAAATAAAATGTCATCGTTTTTTTTTCAATTAATTGTGAATGTTATATTCATCATCATTATCATCATTTTTTCAGCTTTGTAGTCATGGCGGCACTTGCGACAGACAGCTACTTCCGGTCCAGACACCGAATTCCAGGAACCCAATTAGCTAAGAACATGTAAAATAGGCTAATAAACAAGAATAAACAGGTTTGAATCGCTTTGAACCGCTTTAAAACAGGAATAAATGGGTTTTAACAAAAACTGAACAGGTCTGTTGTTTTGCGCTAAAAAGCCGTTCAAAGCAGTTCAAAAGCGGTTCAAAGCGATTCAAACCTGTTTATTCTTGTTTATTAGTCTATTTTACATGTTCTTAACCGATTGGGTTCCTGGACTTCGGTGTCTGGACCGGAAGTGGCTGTCTGTCGCAAGTGCCGCCATGACTACTCAGCTTATTAAACCAAGTTAAACTAAGTTGTAGCCACCCTCACATATTTAGATACCCTCTTTGTAATTGGACTCATTGTTGCTTATTGTTGGCTATGCGGGCCCAAGCTATCTCTGCTAATTTCCTAATATCATGGTCCCATCTCAGGTTTGGTCTTCTTCTAGATGTCTTATTAATTCCTCGTTTTTTAGCATTGTGCGACTTCTAATTTCCATATAATGTCCGTTTTAAGTGTCCAGGTTTTGCATGCATAGGTCATGATTGGTTGTACAAATTGGTCGAATGTTTTCTTCTTTAGATAAAGTGACATTCTAGGTTTGAATATGTTTGAGTTTCTTCCTGTATATAATATATAAGTACTCCCTGCTAACCAGCTAACCCCACTAACCTCTTCTTGTGATTTCTGGTAGTAGAGATCCCGAGCTGTATATTAGTTGTCCCAAATATATATCTTCTTCTACTATTTCCAGTGTTGTCTTATTTATTAGAATGTCTTTTCTGTCTTTTACTAGTTTGTTGTAATTATCAATCTCTCATGCTTCATCTCAAATCTTTCTGATCATTCTGTATATAATTTAAAATTCCGTTGGTGTTGTAGTCATAAAATATTATTTAGTAATTAAATTTTTTAAAGCAAGGCAAATTCTGGTTATAGTTAAATATTTTATAGGTTAAAGGCAATAGAATTTTTAATTATTTTAATAGTTCTCAGATTCCTGAAGTTTGGAATTTTAGAAACATGATTTTATTTTATTTTTACTGCTTAAGGGATTCTACTACATCACTGGCATTAAAGTAAATAAAAATGATCATTTAAATTGAAATGAATTTAGTAAATTCGTTATAGTAAAAATTATTGCTTTATATTTCATTTTTATGGATGACATTTATGTAAGACTGACGACTGTTATGTTAAACAAGAATTAAGTTTTATTTAATTTAAGTTTTAAGAAATTAAATTAATGCAATCTACAGAGTATAAGAAACTACATAATCATAATAAAAAAGAAGAGTAAGAGAATTTTGAAGTAAAATGCTGATTATGCTTTTAAGCTCAACTTTTGGCTCAAATGAAATAAAAATAAAGCACCATTTCACCCCAATACACCAAAACTCTTTATTTTTAACACTAGACTCGCATTTTGCTAAGCGTATTAGCATCTCATCAACAGATGATTAAAACTGTCTCCATTTTTGCTGGTTTGAAAGTTTGAAGTGGAGTTTCAGTTTGAGTATTTTTCAAGAGTATGGTTTAGGTATGTGGATGATATATTTGCCGTTTTTGACACACATTCTGACACCAAACGCAAACGTATTTCTATAAAGTAAATAATCGTTTTCTTTCTAATACCATAGATACCCATTACCCATAGAGTAGATACCCATATTAGAAATAGGTACTAATAATTGCCTGGAATTTGATATCTATAGAGAAAAGATCTTTACGCACAAATATATTCCTAATGAGTCTTATCATAATGATGAACATACAGTGGCGAACAAAAGTATGGAAACATTTTAATTTATACTATTTCTTAGGAATATCTCACTTGCTGGTAACACTGTATTTTATCTATTCTTGATTAACCTCAAGAATTTTCCTGATAAAATATAAAAACATTTGACAAGGTTTTGTCGATTATAATGGTGTTTTGGTATTTGGTTGTTTACAAAGTATGGAAACATTTTAAATATTTTTATTTAAAATTACTTTAGTTAGTGGTCTGCCTTAGTGACTTGGTGTAATAGTACCATTTCCAAATACAATGCCGAAATGCAAGTATTATGCCTCTGACTTTAAACAGAAGATAGTTGCATTATACCAAAACGGTGTGAAGCAAATTGATATTTCTAGGCGGTTGGATATCAGAAGGGGTACAGTAAGATTATTAAGCGTTATTTATAAAGAGGGACTGTAGATCCCGCAGTTAAAAGTGGAATACCGCAAAAAACTTCCTTAAAAATGGACCACATAATTTTAAGAAAAGCCAGAAGCGACCCAAAAAAAGTGCCGTTGATATTAACAAGGAACTTAGGGAGGAATACCCAGATGTAAACGTTTCTGACATGACTGTTAGACGGCGCCTGCTAAAGGAGAACCTTTATGGTAGACGCGCCGTTAAAAAGCCCTTGTTAACGAAGCGCCACAGAATGGCAAGATGAAAGTTTAAAGGCCTCCTGGTCAAAGATTTGACCCGAAGTATTTAATTCCAACTGTCAAACAAGGTGGAGGAAACCTGATGGTGTGGGGATGTTTTAGACGATCTGGTACTGGTCCATTAGTCAGAATTGATTTGCGTATGGATGCTCAAAAGTATGTTGAGATATTGGAGAAAAACTTGTTGCCATACGAAGATGATCTGCCTTTGTCATGGATTTTCCAACAGGATAATGATCCTAAGCATACCTCTCGACTTGTGAAGAATTGGCTTTCAAGGGAAAAAAATCGGGTTTTGGATTGGCCTTCTCAATCGCCCGATTTAAATCCCATCGAAAATCTTTGAATGCAGTTAGAAAAGCAAATCAGAAAAAGACAAATCACAAACCGAGAAGATTTATGGGTAGTTTTGCAGGAAGAGTGGCATAAAATTTCAATTGATTATTGTGCAAAGCTAATATACTCGATGGGGGGAAGATGTCAAGCAGTCATTAAAGCCAAGGGATGGCCGACTAAGTAAAAAAAAATATTTCAATTATTGATTGAATAATATTTTTTTTGTGTATGCTTTAGAAATGTTTCCATACTTTTGTTAACCAATTTTTTTAATAAAAATTTATTTTCTAAATATTTTTAAGTGTATACTTATGTTTTTAATGTATGACATTTTATACCCCGTCCCTTAAATTAAAAATAGTATTTTATAAAAAAAAAACATAATAATATACATATTATGTACAATATTAAAGGTTTATAAAATGTTTCCATACTTTTGTTCGCCACTGTAAGATGGCTAGTTTAAATTAAAAAAAAATAGTTTTAATCGTCTGCTGATGATGCTAACATGGTTAGCGAAACACGTGTTCAGTGATAAAACTAAAGTGTATTGCGGTGAATTGGTGGCTTTATTTTGATGTCGTAAAACCAAAGGTTCCAACCCCGAACTACAATGAGATGAAATTATGAGTATAAACTTATAAAAAAGAAAAAATGCCTTTAAAATTTTTGAGGATTGTCACCAAAACAGTGTACTTAAATAAATTAAATTAATAATTTTGTCGATAGCTATAAGTTTCAGCATCACCTGAATGAAATAAATCCTAAAATTACTTTAAAATAGATAAACTCTTTCAAAATTAATTGAAACTTTCTAATTGTTGTTAATGTTTTTTTTGCACATACTCTCGATATTAAATACGATCAAAATTAATTACATTAAATCCGGTTGGACAAGCCAAATTAATCCAAGATTCCTACGCACCACAGTCCTTGATTGACATTTGGACATATATCTAGTTTTGTTTACACATTAATAACATAAAATGTATATATAATTCAGTTTTTACATGATATAATCTATGACTAACACACACGAACTAGATTGGGAATAGATACATTTCAGTTTCATAAAAAGTTATATAAAGTCATATGGGGGCGTTCTAATACCAGAAGCTATATATACAGCTAAGTGAAAGTGGTTTTCGAAAAAAAAGCATATTTTAGCTTCTTGTAATGACCAACATCTAAAAAAATCTATTTCTATTTTTTTTATTTAGAAATAAAGAGGTGTGGATAATTTTATTTCACTTTAATGATTGTTTAATTATAATTGTTACAATAATAAGCCGCTCCTGATTGTTGTGATTGTAGGCAGAACAGTGTGGGTAATGAATACAAAACATTTGATTAATTCAACAATTTTTTGTTTGTTTTTCATATTCGCATGGCATCTATTTGATCTTCCGTATCAAAATATTTATGTAAATTTCATAAAAAATACACAATTACATTTTTTATTACACGGTACACATTCTTCACGACATTGTTTGACCGCACTATCGAGGTAACCTAAAATAATATCACGTTTTAATCGAAAGATATCTAAATGGGTCTTATTTAAACCCTTATTTAGATATTTTTGTTTTAATCATTATTAGATTGACAAATGTCAATATTTTTGTGACAAGAATTATGCGATCTTTAATGAAATTGATTTTAAAATACGATCTACTATCACAGCCTAATCATAACCAGCCTCCCGACTTTATTATTAGTCGTAGCATTGGCATGCTACGTATCAAATCAGGTTTTGAGCTTCTATTGAAATTTTGTTTAAAAAATGAGAGACTGTTACTCTGGCTGCTGGCAAACCAAACCAAAACACAACTATTTTGCTGTTGTAACACCAAAGGTTCTAACCCTCAATTATTGTAACAAGTAGGTATTCAAAATACAAATTAACATAATCTATGTTATGTAGCTTTTAACATCAAAAATTGTACAAATTATGTAAATTGTCACAAGAATATTGACGTAATGCAATTTTCTTTAAATTTTTCTACTGAAAACCATTTTTTTAATATAATAATATATTTACAGCTATGCAAGTCACAACATGTACCGCAAACACATGTGGTCAGAACGCTCAATGTTCCGTCATTGGAGGGCGACCAGTTTGTTCATGTTTTAGAGGATACTCTGGAGACCCTCTGCACACATGTACCAGGTAATACTTACTTACAGCAACATGAACGTTTATTATTCGTAGGGTTAACACAACTAGTCAAACCCAAATATGCAATTTTTCAAAACATATGCAAGTGTTCAACATATACATATATATAAAAAAATAGTGTCTCACCCAAGTAACATTTTTCGGAGCCTAAAGTTTTATTAAAAGGTAACGGGTATTTATAAGAGGTTTATAAGGAACCTTAACATCTATAAGAGTGTGTAAAGTCATATAAGAACACTATTGGTGTTAAAAGTTTTGTAACACCTCGAAAAAATACCAAAATACTTGAAGTTTTAAAATATTGCATCCAAAATGTTTTCGTTACCTTATTTATAAAACTTTTGGTATTGGTTACTTAAGGTTTTTTTAAAAGGGTTTTATAGCGTTCTTAAAAACCTTATTATAAAACTTTTACTCTTGGAGTTTTATAGCTTACTTCGTAAAACCCTTATAAATCCTAAGGCACCTAATAAACATTCTACAGCTACTACAAAACCTAAAGATTTTATAAAACTTATAGGCTCAGTAGCAACTCCTTTCATGTGTAGAATAGGGGGCGCTATATTTTTAAGGTTAGGTTATGTTTTATGTTCCTGTTTTGCTTTTGTAAATCAAAGATGGAAGAAGAAAGAAAAAGTTGGAAAAAATTAAATACAGTAGCAGTTTTTATAGAAAGTGCGTTAAAACCCGTAAAAATATTTTGGGAAGCACACCACCCACAACTACTAAAAATTAACAAAACTTAGACGTTCCTCAAGAAGATACATTGCCAAATACTTCGACTGAATCGACTGCCACCGATGAAGAAAGGGGTAAAGGACCTTTAGAAGAATGTATAGATATCAGGGAAATTTGGTCAAAGACGGTGTTGATTTTCCATCCTCTGTTGTTTGGACAATTTTGAAGTGCACTGAAGGGCTTTGTTTTAATTATTTTGATTAAAAAATTGTTTTGCAAAAGCCAAAACGCCCGAAACAAAAAGTGGGGTTATGGTCAATGGTCAAGTTTCTATAAATACCTTTTTGGTAACTTATAAAACTATTAAGCATCACAAAAGCACCTAAGGTTTTATTGCAAGAGCAAAATTCCCATAAGACACCTAGGGAAGTGTTATAAGAGTTTTTAAAGTGTGGATGATTACTTTAAGGCCCATATAAAACTAGAGGTTTTTAAAAGGCGAAATGGCGAACATGACGTCCTTTTATAAGGCGGCCATTTTATGTTCGTGTTGTTGTACTTACACAAAAAAGAAGAATATTGCATTTTAAGCAATATTACCGAAGCTTTAAGACGTATTTTTTCAAAAGCATGGGGTTAAGAAATGTTGCGCAGCTTATTTGCAAAAAAAACAAATCATGAGACGTAATTTTAATTTTTTGGTTTTTACAAAATAAATTATATTTGAGTTCTAATCGGGGGCGATTTAGTTTTAAGAAGAGTAAAATGTTAATATTACTGGATAAATCTTCCGTGCCAATAAAATTTAGTCCTCATAGAATTCTTACAGAGTGTTTAAGTTGTTATGGTAATTATTATAACACGCCATTTTCATCAAAGAAATCCATTGCTGTCAACTTTAAAGTACAAGCAGAATAATAATGACAAGAACTTGAAATAGAATATATTGCAAACAAACGTTGTAGAAAGAGATGAACTTAAAAGGGGCGTTTTTTTATTTTGGTGTTTATAAACACTATAAAAAAGGAATATAAAGGTTTTAAAGCGGTAACGAAAATGTATTCCTTGCCGCTATAAAACTTATTTATGGTTTATAAAGGTAAAGACAACATCTTAGTTACCAATAAATGGAGAGTAAAGGTCACGTCAAAGGTTTTATAAGGCACTAAAATTTGGTCACCGTTACCTTTATAAGATTCTCCAATTAAGTGCTATAGGGGTGTTATAAGGGTAACGAAAACGTTTCACGAACAATTGATAGGCTCTTAGGTTTTATTAAGTAGGTTATCGAAACGTAACCATTACCATTATAAAACAAAGAGTGTTAGTTGGGCATTATATACTTATTACCTTATTACCTTACTAGCGTGTACCAGCGACTTCGTTCGCGTCGAATTAATCATTTGTAATTGTGATGATAAAGCAAAGCAAGAATTTCCATTAACATACAAACTGGATAAAATTTTCTAACATTTATGTCAGCATGAGAAAAAACAATATGGCGATATTATTATATAACTTGGTAATATTTGACGGGTAGTTTCATCTCGTTGGAATTTGACTTTCGAAAAGTTTAAGCAGAATCGTGGTTAAGAAATTACACAACTTTTTGGAACACCCTGTATGATTTTTTTAAAAATTTCAAAATATGTAAAAAAAACAAATAAATTATGCTTGTTCAAGCGTTTTCCCGAAAGACTAACCGTTTTTTAAATAACAAATATTGCAATATTTGAGGGGCATTTTCACCCTCTTGGAATTTGAGATTCGAGAAACCCCTCCTTATCGAACCTCTACACCCCACAGTCAATCCGTTTGCCAAAAATCAGCTTTTTTACATCAAGCAGTTTAAGGAGAATCGTGATTACTCAATGATTTTATGAAACACCCTGTATAAATTTATAAAAAATCTTAAAATATGTAAAACAACAAAATAAAATATATGTATTTAAGAGTTTTCCCGAAAAACTTACCGGTTTTTAAATAAAAAATATTTTAATATTTGAGGTATAGTTTCACCCCCTTAGAATTCGAGTTTCGAAAAATCCCTTCTTATCGAACCTCTACACCCCAAAGTCAATCTGTTTTCCAAAAATCAGCTTTTTACGTCAAGCGCTTTAAGCAGGATCGTGATTAATCAATGACCAGATTTTTCGAAACACCCTGTATACATTTTCAAAAAATCTTAAAATATGTAAAAAAACAAAATAAAATATATAAGCGTTTTTTGTATTGTAATATTTGAGGGGTGGTTTCACCCTCTTGGAACTGGAATTTTGAAAAATCCCTTCTTATCGAACCTCTACACCCTAGAATCAACCTGTATGCCAAAATTGAGCTTCTTACGTAGAGTGGTTTGAGCAAAATCATGATTAATCAGTATGTCAGTCACTTAGAAGCTGGGAATAGAAGCTGGGAATATTTGCATAAAATTAAAATATTTATAGGCACTCCAAAAAAATCCTATATAGGTATTTCGCCACTGCAAGAAAATCTACAAAATAAAATAGTTATTTTTTGTAAACACTGCTGCGTTAATCCAACGGAAACTACTTGTCAGCAGTTATTTAGTTATTTATAGGCAGTTTAACACTAATTGACATTGTGGTCTTGAATGATTTTATTTAGAAATATATTTTCACCATGCCTTTATCATATCTTTAGTACATTTTCTTAAATATTAGAAAATCCAATTCTTTCTTCTTCTTTATGTACCGTCTCCATATCGGAGGTTGGTTATCATCATTGCTATTTTGACCTTGGAAGCTGCGCCCCTAAATAGGTCAGATGACGTGACATTAAACCATTTTCGCAGGTTTCTGAGCTAGGATATTCTTCTACTTCCAACAGACCTTTTTCCTACAATTTTTCCCTGGATTATGGTTTATCTCATACCTTGGAACTCTCATGATATGGCCGAGATATTGCAATTTTCTTTTTTCACTTCCTTGAGGATCTCTACGCCCTTCTCAGAACTTCCAGGTTGGTTACATGTTCTGTCCATGGTATTTTCAACATCCTACGGTATGTCCACATCTCGAAGGCCTCCAGTTTCCGCTCGCAAAGCTCGTTGAGGGTCCAAGCTTCCATACCATACAAAAGAACTGAGAATATATAACATTTGAGCATACGAGTTCTCAGATCTAGGCTCAAATCGCGACTACAGAGCAGCTTCTTAATCTTCAGAAAGGATGCACGGGTCTTTTCAATGCGAATCTTTATTTCTGAACAATAATCCCCGCTCTGCAGTCGACACTTGTACCCAGGTAGTCATACCTCTCTACTCTTTTGAGCTCCTCGCCTTCCGCGTACAGATGTTCATTGGGTACTCCACTTTTAGTGACCATCATGTATTTGGTCTTTTAACATTGAGTGTCAGACCATATTCTCGACTAGTTGTGATGACGTTATTTAACATATTCTGAAGGTTTTGCATGTTTTCAGCGAGAAGGACTGTATCGTCCGCGTAGCGCAAATTGTTCAGTGGTATACCGTTAACTAGTATTCCACCAGCATCATTTTCGAGGGCTTTGTTAGAGATTTCCTCTGAGTAGATGTTGAAAAGGAGTGGTGATAGAACACATCCCTGTCTAACTCCTCGTTTGATATTCACTGCTCTCGTCAGTTCAGATTGGACGCGAACAGGCGCACTTTGATTGAGGTACAGTTTTACTATTATTTGTATATCTCTTGTATCGAGATTTTTTTGTTCTAACGCTTCTGTTAGTTGCTTGTGTCTTACTTTATCAAATGCTTTATTATATAGTCAATAAAGCAGGCATATACATTTTGATTGATTTTGATTGGCATATACATTTTGATTGAAGGCATCGCTGCATTAAGACATGGTAGGCAAACAAAGCCTCCCTAGTACCGAAACCATTTCTAAAGCCAAACTGAGTATCTGCTATATATTCTTCTAATTTTCAGTAAATCCTGCGGTGGATGACTTTGAGAAAGATCTTAAGTGTGTGACTCATAATACTGATCGTGCGGTGTTCTTCACATTTTTTGGCATTATGCTTCTTTGGAATTGTGACAAACGTCGACTGGAGCCATTCCTTTGGTATCATCCCTGTTTCGTAGATCTTATTAAATAGAGAAGTTATAGTACCTAAGTGTTGTTCTTCAATCAACTCGAGCGCATCTGCAGGTAGATCGTCAGGGCCAGGCGCTTTCCCATCTTTGGCTGATTTTATTGCCACTTCCTTTAAAATAGATGGCCCCATTTCATTGTTAGTGCTGGTAGTGATTTCTTCTTTTTGGTCGTTGAAAAGAGTTTCGATGTATTGTTCCCATAGAGTCAATTGATCTTTAATATCCAACACAATGTCTCCATCTTCATTTGTAAGAATGTACGATTTTTGCTTCCGAACAGTTCCAGTAAAGAAAATCCAATAAAAAAGGGTTATTGACTGTTTCAAATAAAAATAGTAAAATTTTGGATTTTTTAGGTAGGTAGTTAAAGTCGAATACCTAAATAATTGTTTTACCCATTCCTTTAGTTCCTAAATTTTATAATATTTTGATATATTCATATTTTATGCAAAACATTCTTTTTTTTGCGAAATATGCAAATCTCTTGTCAAAAATACGTTTAATATGCAAAATATGCACTTTGCATATTTGGGTTTCCCTATTGATCACTATAGATTAAAATTGTTTGCACTCGGTCCTGTTTGCATCCAAATATTATTTATTTCGATCTGTATTTTTTCTTGTCAACCAATAAATAACAGGTTTTGAAGTCCAAAGAATGATACTAGAAATATTACGAAAGCAAATATTGGAATAGATACTTAGAGAAAATACAATTAAGGAAAAGTTGGCACTGAATTAAGAAAGAAAGAAAATAAAGGAAAAAAGGAAGAAGAAAAAAAGGGGAAAAAACGAGGCTAGTAAAATAACTGTAAAGAAAGAAGACTGGATATTGGAAGACGCAGAATAATATTATTAATATTATATACAGAATCGCAATAAATAAAGAATAATTGAATGCAAAAAGAATATCAGTGCCAAAAATTCTGCAATAATGAAGGAACTTTTAATAGGTACATTACGACATTCCTATTTTTTTAGATCGGAGTGTCTTTCTGAAGGTGAATGTAGAGGACATCTAACCTGCAAAAATGGTAGATGCATCGACCCTTGTGCAGGAACTTGTGGCATTAACGCTGACTGCCAAACAAGAAATCATGTTCCTGTTTGTAGTTGCCCACCTGGATATACAGGAAATCCTTTCAGTAGTTGCAGAAGATTTGATCCCTGTAAGTACAAGTTGTGTTTGAGTTTGAAGAGTTTTGCTTGAGCTTAAATTTTTAATAACTTCTCTTGAGTAACAGAAATAAAATATACATTCAAGTAAAGACCATAATTACATAAAGTAATGAAGAGTAAAATACCAAGAATATTATTCTTGATAAATAATACAAAATTGATATCTCTGAAGCTAACATATGAAAATTAAATTTAGCTTATTTAAAAAAGCTGTGGCCTTTCCTATAGCAATAGTTTTTTTTTGATAATCACATTAGTTAAAGTTAGATAGTGTCGCCATACTTATCTCCACAAAGGGACAGAATTTAATACAAATCCTTCAGATTACTCTGTATATTTAAATGACATTCACTTCACGAATAAATTTTAGCCGAATTATGTCATCCAAGTCCTTGTGGACCCAACACTAACTGCGAAGTTGTGAATGGAGTGCCAACTTGCAAATGCTTACCAGGTATGTTGGCTGAACCTAATACATTTTGTTCTCTATTTCTCTTACTATTTAATACATTTCTAGGATTCCAAGGTTCTCCAATAGCTGGCTGTCGCCACGAATGTGAAAGTGATGGAGAATGTGGTGGAAATAACGCTTGTATCGATTTTAAATGTCAAAATCCTTGTTCGTCTCAATGTGGAGAGAATGCTGACTGTCAAATAAGAAACCACCAAGCCATCTGCACCTGTCCCAAGGTTAAAATACTACTTTGAAGTTACATTTTTCTATAAGTCATATCAAGTTACTTATTTTTTTTTTACTTTTTACTTTTTTATATATCAGAATTTTAAATTTCAATAAAAAAATAATTAAAATTAAATAATATAGAGATACAAAACTTTGAAAGATATACATCTGGTATATCTGATAATATTTTTTTGCGTCTATTTGTGGGAATCTATAGATTATTTGCATAAGTTTGCATGTTCTTAGTTTTTAAAACTTGATATACAGTATGTCTCCTTATGCTCTTTACAAGATTTTTTTTATTATTAACATTTTAAGGAAAATGCAGTCTTTATAATTTTTTTAGCTAAAATGGTTAATCCTTTATACTTTTCCAAATTTCTATAGCGTTTTAGAGAAAAATAAAAAACATTTGAAAATAAGGCTGAATTTTTAAAAGTGCCAAAGATATGGTCCAAAGTTTCTAAAAATCAACATACGTTTCTATAATATTATTTCGTTTTTATCTTTGATATGTGGTTTTATCTCGGTGTATTCATGGTGTATTCTGCGGGTTTTGTTAATTTCGATTAACTTTCCTATACTAAAATATTAAAGAAACACAAAATTGATTTATTTTACTATGACGGAAAAAGTGATAATACTTATCGAAAATATTTATACTTTAAGCATTTTAGAACAAGCAAAAATGTTGTAGAGAATGCAATTTTCTCAAAAAGTTAATAATAAAAAGTGTTTCGACTAGTAAAGATGATCCGAGGACATACTGTATACAATAATTATTTTCAGAATTACTTTGGAAACCCACGTCTTTCCTGCAAACCCGAATGTTACGGTGACGTAGACTGTCCTGCCGGTCGTCCTGCTTGTTTCTACGGCATTTGCAAGAATCCTTGCGATGGGGTCTGCGGTACTAACGCCAATTGTGAACTTAGAGGCCTTACCCCAGTCTGTTCTTGTCCCAAAGACAGAACCGGTGATCCGTTTGTTCACTGCCGCTTGTTCGAAGCACGTAAGTATTTATCATCTTGAACAGGTTGTCCCATTTTCGTGTATTTTACAAGGTTTCTCATTCATGTGTAGAGGCATGAAGATAGGGGTTTTACATTACGTGCTACTTGTATTATAAAACTAAGGATGATACATTTAACCTTCTTAGTTCCTGATATACAGAGTGTCCCAGAAATAAATGCAGATATTTTACCTGGTAGTATATTTCGGTCCCAGAAACAAGCCTATAGAAGTTTTTTTGCGAAAAAAAAAATATTTTGTATCTTTCTTGACATTTTCCGGGAAATTATAAAAAACTTTTTAGTGCCACTTGTTTATTCGCCTGAGATTTATCTACGATGTATCTAAACCTTGCAGTGTTGCCACCTCCTACATTATTCATTGTAATTTTAAATTTGTACACAAAAAATTACGAGTATTAATTCTAATCATTTCACTGTCTATGACTAACAATTCTAGAAACAAACGTTAAATATTTTTACGTATACCACATTTTCATATTTATTTTTAACTATACCTACTTAAAAAATAACTTTTAACATTGCCATATTACGAAGTAGTTTCAATAAAAAAACATTCTTTTAAATATTTTACTTGTACTTACCCTTACAATGAGAACTAAACTGTGTAAAATTATTCTTATGAGGTTTACGAAAATCATGGTTATACAGCAAAATAGTTTTATTTAGAACTAAATTTAATAAATAATGCACTATATATGCGCATATTATATACATATATTGAGATCAAAATACATAAATGAATACCAACGTGGTTTATCAGAATTCACTATTCGGAACATTGCCAATATCAGACAAATAAAGCTTGATTTTCATGCATCCGTTGTCCGACGATACGTTGATACGATATTAATTTTATTGGTAGAATTTAAAGACTTTGATTGGTTAGAAAATAACGCAGCTTTTAAATTTATTGCATTTTCATGCCTCCGTTTATCGGATATAGGTTGGTGTCATTTTATATTTTCGTTTCAATAACGATTTTGCTATTTTACTAATATTTTTATTAAGGTTAGATTAAATTTGCCAAAAAAGTGTAAAACGTCCGTTATCGTATGAACGGGTCCGTTGACGGGCTGAAGTAAAATATTTACGGATGAAAAGTGGCGCGAAAACGCTATGACCAATCAGAGCACCGTCGCGTCTGATCATCGTATCAACGTATAACGGATGCATGAAAATCAAGCTTAAACCGTATACGAACGACACACAACAACTCATCCAGGGATTTCAGATTTCACTAATTATAGCATACACTTCTTTTGACTATCTGGCAACACAGGGCGTCGAATAAGCTGAAAATCCTCGTGAAAATCTCTTCATAGCCGCTTATCGCCAGCGGTTCTGAATGTTGACATTATTTTTTAAAATTAGTTAGTAAGTTAAATAATTGGTTATTTTTAATTTATTTTGAAAATGGTAAAGGGAAAAGATGTTTCTTTTGATCAGATCTAACCACCCCTTAAAATATCTGCATTTATTTCTGAGACACCTTGTATAGGTCGAATTTTAAAATGTTGCGTTTTTCGACCCCCTTCGTATCTTGGTTATCTTATAACTATTCGAAAATGTGATAACTGGGACACATAGTTTGCTAGTAGTAATGAGAGAGTATATTCTTTTTCTATTTTATTTGCTTTATTACTAAGCCAACTGGATCATATGGTACAATAAAATAAGTTCTGATATGATAAATCTCTTTTCATTAAAGGTGATCTTTGTGAGCCCAACCCTTGCGGAGCTAACGCGTACTGTGAACCCGGCTTTGAAACAAGGAATCCATCCAAGGAGCGTCCAGTTTGCTTCTGTCATACTGGTTATATTGGCAACCCTGTAGCAGGATGTCAAAGAGGAGAATGTATCAATGATTCCGATTGTCCCAACAACAAAGCTTGTATAGAATATACGTAAGTATAAAAGTTTTTAACAAAATATAATTTTGCTGTATTTATATACCAATATAAAAATATAGTACTAAATTGTTGCTATATTTTTAGTTGTCAGAATCCGTGCGTTGGTCAGTGTGGTGTCAATGCTGAATGCAATCCGAGAAACCATTTGGCCGTTTGTACTTGTCCCACTGGATACCAAGGAGATGCTCTGAGTCAGTGCCATTTGAATAGAGGGACCTCAGCTGCGAGATATTTGAGATACAAGAGGGCTGTGGAAGAGAGTCTTCTAAACGCCACATTAACAATTTAAACTAAGTCATTGGAATAGAAAGATCTTTTAGATGAAAATAATTAGTATACTTAACAAGAATACTATTTATATTGTAGGTCTATTTTGTTGGATAGTATCAAAACATTTTTAGCTCAATTTCACTTTAAAATTTAAATCATTTTGTACTAAATTATTTGGTTCGTGTTTGCAAAATGAAAAAGAGGAGATACTATCTGATGAAACTTTTTAAAAATCGTTCACCAAATAATCTTTTTGCGCTTTTTATTTTTACGACTTCTTAATAATCCTAGATTTAGACCTTATATTCTTTTGCATATAAAAACGTAAGTCAACCAGACTGCTCCAATAAATCTGAATTATTTTTATAAGGTTGTTAGTGAAAATTCACTGTAGTTTATTTAATATTATAGTAGAATAAACCTTAGGCTAAAAAAAAGTTATACAAATATCAGTGATTCTAATGAATTATATATTGTAAAAAATCTCATTTAGTACTGCCATAATAAATATTATCAATTACCTTCATGTCTTATTTCTATCGATTTCTTTTCTAAATCTTTTTTTTTTGTAATACTGACACAAAAATTATAAACGTAAAAGCAAAAAAACAACAAAGTTTGGTACAAGAGAGGCATCGTAATGGGCCAAAAGCCTCCGAGTGAGCGATCAAACAGGATCCCAATCACCAGCAACCTAACCTAACCTAACAACTAAGTAAACTCTACAAAGTTGACATTATTTTTGACAAACATGTAATAAATAAATATTAAAATGCCCGATTAAAAACATAATTAGCTAACTCTAAATGAATTTTATAATTGGGCGGTTTAATACTCGTGCTGGCACCTGTTGCCTATACCGTGCTGGCAACTATCCAAGTAACATCTATCTGACTTCGAACTAAATCTGACCTGACGCGTCGTCAGACTTTGTGGAAATTTAGGTCGGGTGCTGGTGATACGACCGCTGACGTCGCTTTCCTATTAAAGGCGACGTCGTTTGATCGGAGTCGGTAAATCCAACGATCTGTCGACGTACAAAATAACAACGTACCATTTTTATTAATTTCCCAACGTCGTTCCCACGTTTGCTTGCCGTACGACGTACATATACTTGAACTAGCCCGACGTCTATCCGTTGTCCGAATAGGATACGTCTCACTGATAATCGTAAACACGTCCGTAAATACAACCCATTAAGTAGCATTTGCGACCTAATGAATATCATGAACATAACCTAATAAAAAGTTTTTGTAAACAAACTTAATTTTTTTATTATACCTGAAAAACACTAAAATGGCATTTAGACATTCATCTACATTTTACAGAAAGAGGACGAGGCTTTTGCAAAATAATAATAGTAGTAGTGATGTCTTGCCTCCACCCATAAATGTTTTTTATCCGGAAGAGATGCTGCATTACACTGGTGCATCTTAATTTCATTTTTTAGCTTACGAAACCAGCAGACCCCATCCTCCTCCCACATGTGAGGTTAGGCTTAAAAAAGTGGCTGCCCATTTTTTTTAAGGAGAAAAAAACTAAAATATAGTTGAACAAATCCACAAATCACTGATACGCAAAGTGAGGTTACGTGGCGTACGTTGGAATTATATACGTCATAATACGATTGCCAGTCGTCCGGTTTGATGACTTCGGTCGTGTGAGACGACTAATGTTGGAGACCCGGTCGGAATTGGTATATTGGTAGTTCATATTAAGTCGGACACCTTTGAATAAGAAGACTAAGGAAGGAGCATAACGCTATCCATGTATTCGTGCATGGTGGGCGGAAAAAGCACTCTAGGGTGGGGATCCTTGACAGTTCTGTTTGACGATTCATTTGACACATTTGAATTTGATTTGAAATTTTGTGGATTTGTCAGTCTTTACGGAGCTTATTTTATGTTATTTATTATGTATTCTACTACTGATAGTTGTATAATGGTAGTAAATCTTGTGGCAGAACTTAAATTAACAGTGACACTATCGCGATTTATCGAAAAAGACTCTAAAATAGTTGGTTGTGTAGCGTGCGGTAGATCTCGGCAAAAATTGAGTGAAATAATGGAACAACTTTTCGCTAGCAAGTGACTATAGAATATACATACGTGTAGTAAACCGATCATTTATGAAATTCACTTAAATTAATTAAATTATATATTTTTCTTGCATTTTAGCTTTTATTTACTACTTGTCAAAGATCAGATGTCAAAGAATTTTGATACGTTAATTTGACTTACCTGCTTCAGTAGCGTATCGGATGTTTGTGTTAATAAATACTTATTATAACTTATCTATTTTTATTAGAATTATATATTTTTATAACAATTTTAATAACTACCAACATTTGTTCACAACATAAAATAAAATAACAAATTATTGAGTCTACCCCACGTCTACCCTACATCATAGTTTTACATTTTTTAAATAAAATTAGAATGGCACTGATAAACCGGAATTTAAGTCGGCCATATTTGAGGCCCATCGCGGTGTACCTAAGATTTTTGATATGCTCCATCCTTAGTCTTCTTATTCAAAGTCGGACACAGAAATCCGCCATTCTTAACAAGTATCCGATTGTCAGCCATTTTAAAATCGTTTTTTGTTTTTAAAATTTATATTCCATTCCGATTTCTAGTAGAATAATATTGATAAGGTTGAGTTTCGGGGGAACCACAGTACTGTTTTATGATTAAACCAGCTAGAAAATAAAAAAAAAATATTTTGCGAGTTACTTTTTTATAGATATTTTTATTTCATAAATCTATCTACTTTTGAAGGCGCTCGTTGTTTTCCGGAGTATTTTAATCAGATATATCAAAAAAGTGACTTCCGTTGACAAAACTGATGTCTGGATTAATGATTCAGAATTATTATAATATGAAATTAGATAGGCACTTATAGTTCTATTCGAGGAGTGATTATAAAACCATTTGTAATTAGGCAGTTTGGTTAGGTTTTTATGTATTCTTGGTAGCGAATATGAAACCAAACGTAACGTAAGTGCTTAGCGACGAATTTTAAGTAACTAAAATCCAACGTAATATGACGTTGGTAATTGGTAGAATTACATTCCCTATTAGGTCAGATACCGACGTCGAGGCGACCCGAATCTGTATTCCCCATTTAGGTGCAAATAAGGGTCGTCAGGCGGTCTAACCGACGTTGGTACCCGACGTCGGGTTTATTGAACGCGACGTATACCCGACGTTAGATAACGTCCAAATGCTACTTGGGTTTAATCAGAAATTATTTTAGATATGTGGTTACAGCATTCTATTACATGCCCTCTATTAAAATAAAACAAAGTAGTAAAATATATTATATTTATTTAATATTCATAGAATCCTTGTTTGTTTTTTATGTTTCAAACTACCATGAATTTTAATTTGACATCGATCACATATATCATTTTAAGATAAACTAAATAGTTCTATACTACCTAAACTAACACTAAAAAGACATATAGGTACATATTATAAGTAAATATATCTGACATCTTTTTAAAATCTCTAATCCTAATACAATATTTTTTTCTATCAGATCTAACAGACATAAATCAAATTTTCTAAAAGCTTTAAATTAATAATGAAATATACAATGAATTAAATTTTAAATGTTTTAAAAAAATCGAGTTTTTTTTTAATTTAGAAACTAGCCTAGTATAGCGGACTAATATTTTGGGGAAAAAGTACTTTAAAAAAGTACATTAAATAACAGTTTTTATGTGAAAATATAAATAAATAAATGTCTCTATATACATTTTGGACTTAAATTATAATGTTTTAAAATCTAAACTAAGTACTATTGGCCCTGTGTGAGAAACTGAGTACTGATTTGATTTTCTTCCGAATTTTTGGTGAAGTCCATTTGCTTGAGTGCTCACTGGTTCCGTTTCTTAATGGTACCCCTTCATCCACATCATCGGCTTCTGTTTTTATCTCCATTTTCTATGATATAAATAATGTTATTTTAACCAAAAATAAGACAGTGACATTCAAAGTCCCACAGTAATATACACTTGCGTGCATAGAAATCGGCCCAAGGCAAACGTTTGAAGTTAACTATATATTTTTTAGAATATATTTGTCAGATTAAGAAAAAATATATACTGTTTGAAAGACAATTTTATATTCTTTGATTACAGTTGAGGGTTGGAACCTTTGGTGTTACACAGCAAAATAAAAACACTAAATCACCACAATACACCAAAACACTTTTACTTTTACACTGGACGCGCGTTTCGCTAACCATGTTAGCATCATCAGCAGATGATTATAAAATTTTGAGCAGATGATTATAAACTTTTGAGTTTATAATCATCTGCTGATGATGCTAACATGGTTAGCGAAACGCGCTTCCAGTGTAAAAGTAAATGTGTTTTGGTGTATTGTGGTGATTTAGTGTTTTTATTTTGCTTTATATTCTTTGAAAAGAGTTTAGAGATATTAATTTGTATTTCGGTTTCTTTGGATTAAAATTTTTAAATTAATGCATGAAACAAATTATCGTTTTTTATTACTAAGATGTATGCCATTATTTATTTATTTATTGATTGACAATAAACTAAAATAAATTTTCAATAATGGGTATGACCCCCTCTTGCTCTTACAACATCTCTCATACAGTTTGGCATAGATTCAATCAAGTTTGATATTGTTGCTTGCGGTATGTTAAGCCACTCATCTTATACTTCAACAATGAGCTCTGGGATAGAGGTTGGGGCTCTTTGTCTAGTACGAATCCATCGTTTTAGCTCATCCCATAAATGTTCTATCGTGTTTAAGTCTGGACTGCATGCTGGCCATTCCATAACCCGAAAACCGACTCCTGAAATGTAATCGTGTACGATTCTTGATGTGTGTGCTCTCGCATTGTCATGCATAAAAGTGAATTCGCTTCCAATGTAGTCGACGTAAGGTACCACATGAACTGCTAAAATCTCCTCAATATACCTAACACCAGTTAAACCTCCTCTCCTGTGCCGACGGTCGTCCCAACGGATAAAAACTGGGTCGATTCGCGCAGTCATAGAAATTGTACCCCAGATCATGCAGAAACCACCTCCATAAGCAATCCGCTCCTGAATGCAGCATTCTGCGAATCGCTCATCTGGCCTCTGGAATACTTTTCTTCTTCGGTCGCTGCCATAGAGGCATATCCTGGTCTCATCTGAGAATAAACCACATTCCCATTGTTCTAATGGCGAATTCAGATGTTCCGTGCAAAAGGCAGGCGTGTTTGACGATGAGCTGGGGTAAGTTTTGGACAAATTGCGGGTGTTTTGGGGGTCATGTTACTTTCCTTCAATCTTCGTCTTACCGTGTCCTCTGACTAACAGTCACTCATCGTGTTTCACCGAGCTGTTGTTGCACCTGAATAGCATTAAGATGCCGATTTCTTAATATTGTTGACACAATAAAGCGGTCATCACGATCCGTTGTATATCTCTTTCCACCAGTTCCAGGTCGCCTACGAAAGGATCGAGTCTCCTCATATCGTTCACACACTCTTCGAACCGCTCCGCGTGTCATATGCAGTTGACGAGCTACAGCTCTCTGTTTAAGTCCATTTTCAATTAAAGCGATTACTTTGGCAGCTTTTTTCCGTGATGTATGCATTAAATTGAAACACTAATCAAACAATGAAACACAACAAATCAAACAATGAAAGAACAATGTGCATATTTCGATTACAAAGTAACAGTAAAGTAGTAATTGCAATATTTGATAACTTTTTTATTCTTATTGTCACCACAACACAAATGCTTTTCATTTGTTTACCCGTTGCTGCGCATATAAACGATAAGTACTTTGGATAAATTTATACTCATATTAAAGCATGTTAAATTGTCTTTGAAACAGCTCATATTTTTTTCTTGGTCTGATAAATAGATTATAAAAGACACAGTTAAAGCCAAAAGTTTACAGTGGGCCGATTTCTTGCACGCAGGTTTATTTTCATGCCAATGTTACAACAGTCACTTAGTAGGTAATGAAACTAGAGGTCTATCCAAATTTTTTTTGGATACCTTTTAAGAAACAAATAGAGTTTTCAACATTTTACTGAAACGTTAGTAAATACCTTATTTAGTGGTCGGTTGGCATGTTGTGGTAAATGCCGACCACTGGTTTAGAGTTCTGTGTTAATATCTAAACGCTATATCCAAAGGAAAAATTATATTTGCACATTATCGTTAAGTTAGCTCATGTTTTTACGTTTTATCAGAATATTACATGCCATTTCAAGCTATTTTTAATACCAATTCAATAACTCATCGTTCGGCTTCTCAGTGCCGCGGCCGTGTCGATGCACCGCCGCGCCGGTGAGAACGACAATCGCAATGCTGTGGTTTTCGTTTGCAGCTCTTCGTTCGCGTGCTCACTGCGATTGCAAATCGCAACTGGTGTAATATTGGTTGCTTAAAGGATGATTCATGGTACACCGGGCCATACCCGAGCCGGGCACGTTCCGTAAAGGTGCGTATTCATTATCCGAACGAACTAACGAACAAACGAATGAAAGTGCGGTATATTTAGACGGGGACCGAATGCATGCGGCCGTTCGTTCGTTCGTTCGCTCGACCATCCGTTTCGAGTCGGTACATCAAAGGTGTTCGCCAACAAATGCCTCCGGTCTTCCCGTCCATACCACTAGCGAACATTCGTTCGTTCGTTCGTTCGTTCGTGCGGATAATGAATACGCACCTTAAAGTAGACACCGAGCCACGTCCGGGCCTATGCTACACCGAGTGGACAACGGGGATCATGTCCGTGCCGAATATATTCTAGAAAACAGTGTTGCCGCAGTGGTACATTTGTACCAAATTTGATACTTTTAATTCTATTTGGTACAGTGGTACTACATTTTCAAATCCAGGATGATTTGGTACAATAATTATTTCCCACGCGCACCGAAATTGAATAGATATTTAATAATTATTGTCGTTGATATTGCATTAAACGCGCTTACCGATACCATTCGGAGAAAATCCGCATTAATTAACGACGTATTATAAACGTTGTAATGTCTATAGCGTTGCCTATATTAAATAACCCGAAGAAAAAACTTGAAAATTTACTGTTTCTAACATGCTTCTATATTTGCGTTTTTTTTAAATAAAATTTAAGTTTTCCAAGTATTGTGTGTAGTATTAGAATTACTTAGATTTCTTCAACCTATACATACTTATAATTGGGTTTTCTGAATTTCTATTTCATGTTTTTCGTCTCGATTTGTGTCTTTCTCCAGGAAGTTTTTTTATGTAGAAATTTATGAAGAAATTCACAGCGACCAAACCGGTTAAAGTCATATGCAGATGTATTTTGTTGTGCTTTAAAAAATTGTACCAAAGTGGTACATTTTTAGTTTATAATGTGGTACGCGCTAAAAGTTGGGTGCGGCAACACTGCTAGAAAACAGCCGCTATAGGCCCGTAGATGAACGAAGTATTTAGCCCGGGCGACTCATTTATGTTTGCCGCAACGGGGCCGGACCGTAGCGGATCCGAGGAAAAATGTACACCGACATTTCTTGGACGGGGCACGGACGGGTTCCGGCGAAGCTCGGACCGTGCTCGGCTTAGCATGAATGTATAAGTATAAATAATATTTGACAATGTTTGGCCGTGCCTTCACCGTCGCACGGCCCCGGCCCGTCACGGTGTACCGTGAATCATCCTTAAAAATCCAAAATCGGCAGATATATGTTTCAATCGCAAGTCGCAGTTTTCTATGGAAAGGAATCACAGAAGGATTAAATCGCAGTTTGCGATTTTCTGCACATCTCTATTAATAATATCAACTATTAGATATCACTAAAGAGCAAAAATACGAGATATATTTTTATAAATACACATTTTAAACTCTTAAGGCAGACAGTATTTATAATATAGGAAATTCTAATAATTCGTTTTTTGACAGATGGAAGTAAATTGTCTGACCGTTTGACACTTTATGTCAAAGGAAGCTAGATAAAATCAAGAAAAATATACGTTTTCAAATTAAATCTTAAATAACTTAAAAACGATTTATTTTAGGTATAGGAACTATAGTTAAAAAATAATGAATTAAAAAACCTTTTCATTAGTGAAATAAAAAAGAGGGTTTCCATTTGAAAAAAAAAATATTTATGATAATTTTTTAAACGCTCAATTCCATGACAGCTACCCCTATTATTGTATGACATTTGAACAATTTAATTTTGAAAATAGATAGCCACATGTCTTCTCTTTATGTCACAGTGGCTGTGGTAATCACTAAATTTGACTTTTAGGCTATACACATTTTTTTAACAGATAGTTTTTTTCCTCCAAAAATGTTAAATATTTTTTTTCTCAAAAACGGTTAATGTTAGATATAGAGTGTTTAACATCAATATTCATATAATTTTACAGATAATTTAAGTATGTAATAAAAAATGGGGGCACCCATTTAAAATAAGAAAGTTGCTGTCAACTTCCGGTATTTCCGGAAGTGTCGCCATATTAAAAATATTTTTAATCGATAGATCTCGATGTAAAACAGTACTGTGCAAAAAATCTCAGATCTAGATGTTGTGGTTCTCTAGAAACTTCTAATGCACGCTCAGCCTGGGACACCCTGTAAATTATGCATCTTTGTCATGTTACAAAATGTTTGTCATACCCTAATAAAAAGTTCAATCTCACAACGATTCACTCAAAGTCCAAGCACAGATATTTTAAAAAAAAATATGTAACATAAAACATAAAAATGTAAACAAAGCAAAAAGTACAATGACTTAGTTCCTAAAGCAACAATTATGGTATTGTCAAATTAGATATTGAAAGCTGAAAACTGACGTATATGTTTTTTCAATTATGAGCCATGTTATAATGAATTTTCGAAATAGAAACAAATAAACATAATAAATCAATAGATAAAAATTTATAAATTTTTAAATAAAAAAGTGTGACAAAATAGTATATTATTGAACGAACAATTTATGCTAGCCATTATTCACGCAGGGTGACGTTTGCGTCACGAGCCGTTGGCGAGGGGCGCAAGTCACCCGAGTGAATAATGGCTATAAATTGCGAGTTGAATACTATACTTTGTCCACGGCCATTATAATAATTATGAGAAGTGTTTGAATTTGTATTTTTAATGTTAATCTTACTATTATTGTATTCATGTTTTAGGGGAAAATGTCACTACCTACTTAAAATTTGGCAATTTCAAACGTCAAAATTAACTAAAAGATAATAAAAACGTCAATATCATCAGTTGCTATGCATCGAGTCATCTCGAACTATTCTATTTTCAAATATTTGGGAAGTTTATTATAAGATGTGTATTTGGTGACATTTGGTGACAGACCTCTATATAATATTTTTTCTACCACCTTTAGTAAAATAAATTTGTTGAAAATGATAGATCGTACCAGCAGCAGCTGACTTTTTGTTGTTTTGTGTATCTAAAGTTGGTAATTTCTGTTTTATTTATCGTTAGGTGGGGGTGGTTACCGGGTGGGTCTCAAAAGTGGCTCACCCCTATAATTTTTTAATTTTTTCAGATAAAACAACGAGATTTGGTATGTTAGTCTTCTTCTTTATGTACTGTTTCCATATCGGAGGTTGGCTATCATCATTGCTATTTTGACCTTGAAAGCTGCGGCCCTAAATAGGTCAGATGACGTGACATTAAACCATTTTCGCAGGTTTTTGAGCCAGGATATTCTTCTCCTTCCAACAGATCTTTTTCCTACAATTTTTCCCTGGATTATGAGTTGCAAAATCTCATACCTTGGACCTCTCATGATATGGCCGAGATATTGCAATTTTCTTTTTTTCACTTCCTTGAGGAGCTCTACGCCCTTCCTCATTCTTCTCAGAACCTCCACGTTGGTTACATGTTCTGTCCATGGTCTCTCAACATCCTACGGTATCTCCACATTTCGAAGGCCTCCAGTTTCCGCTCGCAAAGCTCGTTGAGGGTCCAAGCTTCCATACCATACAAAAGGACTGGGAATACATAACATTTGAGCATACGTGTTCTCAGATCTAGGCTCAAATCGCGGCTACAGAGCAGCTTCTTAATCTCCACAAAGGATGCACGGGCCTTCTCAATGCGAATCTTTATTTCTGAACAATAATCCGCGATGCAGTCGACACTTGTACCCAGGTAGTCATACCTCTCTACTCTTTCGAGCTCTTAGCCTTCCGCGTAGAGATGTTCATTGGGCACTCCAGTTTTAGTGACAATCATGTATTCTTAATATTGAGTGTCAGACCATATTCTCGACTGGTTGTGATGACGTTATTTAACATATTCTGAAGGTCTTGCATGTTTTCAACCAGAAGGACTGTATCGGCCGCGTAGCGCAAATTGTTCAGTGGTATGCCGTTAACTAGTATTCCACCAGCATCATTTTCGAGGGCTTTGTTAAAGATTTCCTCTGAGTAGACGTTGAAAAGGAGTGGTGAAAGAACACACCCCTGTCTAACTCCTCGTTTGATATCCACTGCTCTCGTCAGTTCAGATTGGACGCGAACAGACGCACTTATGTAGTATATGGTATGTTAGTATATGACATAAATTAGGATTGACTGACGTATTCAATTGTCTTTGGTCGCTTCCGGTTTCACCGGAAATGACTACAACTTTTGATTTTTAAATGGCATCCTCGGATTTTTTTTTACTTTATTCGATAGAAAATGACTGAATAGAATGACATATCATATGTCAATTTTTGACATTTTCACATATGGTTTATTTGAAAATGTAACATGAGGTTCATAACAACAATTTGACTTGAAATACCAAGTGTGTGGTATCAAATTATTCGTAAAAAATACTTTTTTCAAATATGCTAATGAGCCACTCTCGTTCCATTTGAAAAAATTGAGATATGATTAAAAATACGATTTTGGCATCTTTTAACCAGCCAGGACAAGACACTAAAACATTAGACGATCACATCTATTTTTCCAAGGCTCCTTGATTAAAAATTGGTGTTTTTTAATACAGCCATAGCACTCTAGATTGAAATTTAAAATACAATTTGTTTTTGAGCGAATATGTCAAAAGTTGAAGTTGAAAGTTGACGATATGTCATTCGATTCAGACTGTCATTTTCTATCGAATAAAGTAAAAAATACTGAGGGTGCCTTTAAAAAATCAAAAGTTGTAGTCATTTCCGGTGAAACCGGAAGTGACCGAAAACAATTGAATACGTCGATCAATCCTAATTTATGTCATATACTAACATACCAAATCTCGTTGTTTTATTTGAAAAAATGAAAAAGTTATAGGGGTGAGCCACTTTTGAGACGCACCCGGTATATGTATTTGAATTTTATTGATGCTGCTTCAAGTTTTTTGCATATAAAACATATTTTTTAATATGCAGATAAAAAACAATAATCATAATATTTTTTAATAATCACTTAATAATCACTAACATTTGGCAATTCTAAACGTCAAAATTAATAAAAAGAAAAGATAAGAAAAACGTCAAATCATCCACGCCGCGCATCGGGATGTTGTGAGTGTCACGTTGGCATAGCAACAAATGTAAAGTAAATGCAAAATGTGATTTATCATAATTCACTGTTATCAGCTGTTATATTTCACTCTATTACAAGTATGGGCACCATATTCCTTCAGCTAGGAAGTAGAATATTGATTTATTATTAAGTGGTCGTGAACAAAAATATTTATAATTTAATGAAATACTATACTCATTATATAAATAATCATATACTATCTTTGTTAATAAACTCTTTTAATAATAAGTGGCAGGCTAGCTTCTTTGTTTACAGCTAGTTTGTATATCTTGGATAATTAGTTTTATGTAGTAAGGTTCTTCTGTTTATACCTATTATTTGTCTGGGGGTTACACTGGTCATTTTTATAGAAAAATTATACTTATATGTATCAATAGTAGTCGTAACCAAATTTAAGATGAATTAATACGAAAATATGTACTAGCAAAATACCTGTACTATGAGCCTAAGAAAGTGGCTCTGAGTTTCCAACGACTGTGAAATATCTCGAAGTTTTCTTTTTGTTTTCTCAAGTTCTGATATAACGTAGTCTTCCGAGTTTTCCATAGCTAGATCACCTACAAGAAATCGGTTTTCTATAACCACCAAAAACAAGTACGTGTTTCAAATTTATCAAAAAATGCTACTCACACTCATCTGAAAAAGGACTGCCAAACCATTTCTTCAAAATAAAGTCTACAAAGCCTTTCTTATGTTTAGCTTCATTGGGATATTCGACCAATTCCTGTTTATCTACCTTTTCCAACCATCTTTTTGGTAATTTTCGTTCTAGTTCAGTGTGCAAAACCACCTAAAATACAACAACAGTAAATACATAGGTCACTTGTTGTGGTTATGTCAATCAATAAGATCAAGTAAATTATGAGAAATACAAAATTGATGTTCGGAAGTACCTTAATAGAGTGTCACTTGAGTGAAAATATCATTGATATACAGACCGGACCACCGTAGTAGTAACATAGGCAGAACCGGACGAATTAGCGTATCCCCCTCCGCCGGATAAAAAGAAAGCGAAAAAACGCGATAAAATAAAAATTGGTAGATATGTGATAAGAATGTTTCAGAATTTGTATTTATTCGTGTTTTAATAGCCAAAACGAATACATAGATTATCGCGGCAGCTCTCGTGTAAAATTTATTTTTTAAGTAAAATAATGGATGTTTACGAAGTTCGTGAGAAAATTCAAATTGTAAAATGGTATTTCCAAAATAGGTCTTATCGGGATATACAAACAATTTTTCCACAAACTTTTGTAAACAGGTCAATTCCATCTTTACCTACTATATCAAGAGTTATTAATAATTTTGAAACACATGGGTGCGTCTCCCCACAAAAACTCAAAAAGCCTGATGTGTTGATTAATGAAGAACAGAAGTTAAAGCAAGTGTTCATTTGTGCTACCGCGGATCAAAATCCCACGTTTTCAAGTAATCAAATTGCTGAAGTAACAGATTCTTCACCTAGCAATTTAGATGAAAACTTTATTCCGCGTATAGTTTTCACCGACGAATCAAGTTTTCATTTATTGAGTCGTCATAACCCTACACAAGTACGATATTGGTTTCGGGAAAATTTGCACAAATATTTTGAGGTACGCACGCAATATCCCCAAAAGCTAAATGTTTGGGGTGGTTTTGTAGGGGAGCATATGATTGGTCCATTTTTTATAGAGGGTAATTAAACTGTTGCAAAGTATTTGGACTTGTTACAACAGCAGATTGTACCTAGAATTCGTGAGTTATTGGAAGAAAGATACCACAATGTCTTGTTTCAACAAGATGGTTGCTCTGCCCACAATGCCCGTATTGTTCAAGCATATTTGAACAATACTTTTCCCAACCGTTCAATTAGTGGATATGGAACTATTTTGTGGCCCGCTAGATCACCAGATCTTTCTCCCAATGATTTCTTTTTGTGGGGTTATGTAAGATCCAAAGTGTATGGTCATAATAGGCCCTAATATGTTAGCCAATGTCAGACGGATATTTTACGACCGCCTAGGCTTCTGTCTAGCACAAGAAGGTGGTCTTTTTGAACACTTGTTATAACTTTTTTAATTTAGAGTAATATTTTTTTTTATTTTATTGAGGTATTTTTTAATTTTGGAAATGAGTTTTGGGTTTAGAGAATTTATTTATTTTTAGTTTTGAATTGTAAACACACTCAAATAATAAATATTTAAGTATTTTTATTTTAAAGTCAGAGGCGCAACTAGACATATACTTTTAGGGGGGCTCAAATCTTTTGGGGGGCTTAGGTTACTATAATATAAGATTCATGTGAGGTTAAAACCAATTTTACACGACACGCACTGGTCATCTGGGGGGACTAAGCCCCCCTGCCCCCCCCCTAGTTGCGCCTCTGCCTTAAGTGAAGGTAAACACTTAAAATGAAAATAATAAATGCTCGGCACTCCTCGCGTCGTATTCCTAGTCTGTCACGACCGACCCGTCCAAGCACAACTGCAACTGCCTGCTGCCTGACCAGCCGTCTAGCCGGCAGTGAATAAGTACAAACGCAATCGGATAAGCGTAAAATCGTCCGGCAAGTTGCTATGTTACTAGTAGCCTGGTCTTCTCTGTATAAATGTCTTAAATATATATTTGTTTGTTAGACATAGTAGTCATAGTATACATAGTTTAAATACCTGCATAGCTAAGCGCTTCAACTGGGCATTTCTTCTGACGCTTTCGATATCACCAACTGCCAAACCAATAAGCAGATTCATTAGTAAAATCGGCATGAGAACCATAAATAGGCCCAGCATTAGGAACGCAGGCATAGGAAATGGTAAGAACGTATTTTCATCTTCTTTGGTGTTGAGATAGTAGTAATATGGTTTGACGTAGGTACCAAGAAAGTCTATTTCGCCCAGCATCATTGAGAAGGTTCTTATCAGTGACATCGGTATAGATTTAAAAGATAAGTGATCACCCTGTATAAAAATTAAATTTAATGTTGTTTTATATTATACACGGTGTTCCTTAATGACATGCTAATATTTAAAGAGGTGGTTCTTGGACCAATTCTAAGAAAAAACTTCATTTGGATATAATATGTACTAAACATCTCAACTTTTTAGATACAGGGTAGTAAATTTTCTATTTGTTTTTCAAAAAAATTTTTGATGTTATATCTGATACTTTGTTCCATGTATTAAAATTCTTATTTTGATTTACAAAAAAATTGTTTTATTTCTTCATCTTCTTCCAGCCGATGAAGAAATGATTTCGATACAAGTCAGCGCATCAGATTTTCAGCGATTTGACCCCGAAGTAAACTGACTTTAATTTTTTTAAGTAAAACAACAGGAGATAAAAATTTTTAGAAACGAATGGAAATTTTAAAAATAATTTTGATTTTAAGAGAAGTCAGTGTCAAAATATTCAATGTAAAACCCGTATGGACGGCATTGGTTGAAATAAATAAAATTCTTTGTACACCAAAAAAAGGTATTTTGATCTATATAAGACGTGTATCAAGTTTCATAAAGATATCTATAACAAAATCAAAATTATTATAAAAAATAGTTTTTTTTAGAAAATTTTACCACCCTGTACCTCAGAAATTAGGATATTTAGGACATACATTCATAATATGAAGATTTTCTCTTAAAATAGGTCCAAGAATTACCCCCTTTAATATTAGCATGTCATTAAGAACCACCCTGTATAAATAATAAAAAAAATATAAAAATATTTTCAAATTCTAAAAAAATACAAATACACTTTAAGTTGAATCTTTGCGATTAAAAACCGTATGATAAAAAAACGGCGTCAAAGACGGTAGGGGAATGACAATCGATAATAATTTTGGCGATGTCAATATCTAGATATCATTTAGTAAAAATTGACATAAAAACAAAAATTAACACCAATTATTATACAAAGATTTATTTCCAAAAAAATATTTTTTCTCCAATTTTTCTCGAATTACTCCATTTAAAAATAATTTTTACTCAATATAGAAATAAATTACAACCCTCTTAAGGCCAACTGGCAGTAAGCGCCATTAAAAAATTGCTGTTTTTTTTTTCGGTCGTATGGTACATTTACTTCACTCCTCCCAAAGATTTGTTTACTATTTTTTAATATATTTCCGTAACAATATAAACATTTTTGCCAAAATAATTAAAATTCAAAAGACTAAAAATAATTAAAAATGAACTTAAAAGATATGTCAGTAAAATGGTCATTAGTTTTAGTTCCTAATAATAATTTGAGTGTTAAGTTTTGTTTAGGTTTGTTGCATAAAAGATGATGAGGATGTTATAAAGTATGATTTTTAAGATTAAGGAAGACAAGACAAATACAATTTTTTACTTAAAAAAGGTAGTTCACAAAGCACTGTTATAAAGGCTAATAAATCAAGAAATATGAATAACATATTGTATATCAATGATTTATTAATTTTGGTAGTTTGACTTATGACGTATACTTTCTGAATAATCTATACTGCTATTAGAATTTTTTTTAAACATATAAATACAAATATTATAATAGATATTTTCGACAAATATTGTTGAAAGGATTATATTTCATTATATTTCTCATTATTTTTTTTTCACAATATATTTGAATATGAGATATATTTTGTTATTAAATTTTTAAAGAAGTATATTAGAGACAAATTATATGTTTTTCATATTTTATTTTGATTTAACATTTAACAAAAACTTGAAATAATTTAATAATGTGGCTGTCAATGTCAAAACCTTTTATATTTTCGGAGCATTTCCAAATATTTAATGCATTCATTCACAAAACATCCCCCTTTAGAACTTTTTCTTTAATGGCCATAAGCGGGAGTAAAAGCCCAACCACCCGAACAAACACTAGAGACGCCACCGGTCATCAAATGGTGTAAAAATTGCGAAAATTTAATCATCTACACAAGGGGTCGCGCTTAACTTTTTCAATTTTAATTCAATATTCATTGTTTTCAAACTATATTATTAGACTTTGCTGTATTTTGTGAATGTATAAATGTTTTCTTAGTATAAAGTTGCATTAGTAATTTAAATTATATTATAATACATACATATTTAAGATTCAAATATTATGACATATGTGTCAGTTGTCGTCTAACATGTCATCTTGATAACAAAAAGTTAGTTATTGTCAAAAATAGTTAAAATCATGTTAAAATATTAAAATTTACAAGTTATAATTAGATATTTTATATTACTTCAACAACAAACACATAATAGTACAGCGTAATGTTGATATGGAGGTCCAAAACAAACAGTGCCGTTATATTTTTCAGTTTTCGTTGTCAGCCGCGGAAGTTTCAGTGATTTTAGTGTTGTCGGATATTTTTATTTGTGAAATAGAAATATTGCGTTTGGATTGCAAAACTGAAAGTGGAAGTTTTATTGCAATGTAAGTAAACGTTTGTCCATTTTATATTTGACTTTCTTAATACCTACGACAAATATACATATATTGAAATTTTATAATTCATTTTATTTAAAAAATGTTAGAAAACAAGCTTGCTATAATTAACATAATTGTTATGTAATATATTCCATTTAAATGTAATATATTACTTTACAATTAAAAAAAAGTAAATTTAAAAAATATATTAAAAATATATACAGGCATTAATTGAAATTTTTTAAGTGCGAACAAACACGAGAGGCGCTTTATTATTTACTTTCATTTCTTAACATGACAGCCGAAGTTCTAAAGGGGGATATTTTGTGCATTCATTTTATTCTATAACAAACATCGCGTGTACAAAATAGTTAATTTTACTCTAACTCTACTTACGTTTTACAAAATTAACCTGTTTAAAGCTCTCAAAAAAATAAAATCAATAATTTTGTTACATCCTTACTAAAATTCTTTTATTTACTGTCCTTAACTAAAACTGAATGCTAACGAAAGTATACTTACTCTTGAAAGAAGAATATAAAAAGCTAGTCCGAACGCAATAATTAATATGGAGAACACCATCAAGACTTTGATAAGAGTTTGCAGAATTTCCAGGAACATTACCACGTAGATTCCCACTTGGTCAAACCTTTGCAAGAGTAGGAGCAAATTGAACCAACTCAAAAACACAACCAGAGAAGCAAAAGAAAACTGAATCTCGTATATTCCACCACCCCAGATTGGCAACACCTAAAAAATAATTAATTTTAAAATAAAAATAATTAAATAAAGTTAATTTAGAAATACCATCACTATGGCCGCAATGTATAGGAGCCAAGTAACCAAATTGATAGGGTTTATGAAATATAAAAACTTTTGCTGGAATACTTGGGCTAGTTCTCTACCTGCACTGACTACGATGTAGACCAAAATAGCTAGAGCGCTGATGTGCATGGAATAATTGATATGGACGTTTAGAATTTCTGATTTTCTTTCTGAAAATTGCTGAGAAATAATAATATTGTGTCATTGTTAGTGAAATATACAGGGTGTTTCAAAAAACATGTGCTATCTTTCGTAGGGAGATTCGTCTCGTAAACATAAGATTTACTTTTTGTATCAACATAGGTCCGATTCTGCTTTGTTTCGTAGCTACAAAAGGGTTAAAGACTTCATCTTTTTTCGATTTATTTTAATTTTCTTCCAACTGCTTTTAGCGATTCGAATGAAATTTTGACGGTAAAAGTTACTATAAACGCGACATATTTTAGTACAAAGAAAGTGTCGACATATTCACCACGGACATGCATATGGGCTAACAGTGGAATATTTTTCAAAAAAAAGATGTGTGCCACTGACTATTTTTTCTTTTTTTTTACGCTTTATTGTACAAAAAGCCAAAATAGCTTCATCGACAAAGCATTTACAAAACAAACAAAAGCACAAAAAATATACAAATAATAAAAAATATCATACAACACAAATCATACAATTCAAAAAAATTTACGTCATTAAAATTACAAATAGAACATACATACAAATTCTATTGGTACAAAAGGCGTTTCAAAATCATTTAAGAGTTATAAAATATTAAATACTAGACTTTCAAGCAGTGTATGAGATGATTAAATTTTAAAATTCAAAATTGTTCTTGACTAAACATCAACAAAAAGTCATTTACCACATATATGGCTCTTTCCAGTAGATATGATTTCAGAGCTTTGCAAAATGCGGAAAAAAGCAACTTGATATTCAAAGGCACATGATTGTACATTTTTTTGTCACTGTACAGTATTGATCCTTTAACTAGTTCTGAGCTCGGGGTTGGCAGATAAATATCGTGCTCCGGCATTCCTAAATGGATAGTTGCGAGATGGCCTTTCGGAAACAGCAGATATTTATTTGCTTGCGGATTAAGCAAACGGATTCAAAAATCAATAAAGAAAGAAGAGTCAGTATTTTGAAATTTAAAAAAAAATCCTGGCATAATAGGCTATTCTAGAGGTTGGTAAGTTAAGTTCCTTAGAAACTGATCTTATCGCAAAACAGGCAGCGCTTAGTTTTTTGATAAAGCTTCGATGTGCAAGACCCATTTTAGCGAGTTGTCTACAACAAGTCCTAAGATTTTTTTTCCTTAAATGTTGACTGTTTTTCGTTAAATGTTGTCTCTTCATGTTTTGTCGATTTTGGTCTCACTGATGAGATAAACACAATTTAATTAATTTGCCTTAATCCAATTCTAATAGCAATCCTTAAGAAATAATGTTATTAACTTGCCAAAATGCTAAATAAGTACTCATTAATTCCTCATCAAAAACATGAAAAAAGTTACTATAAATACGAGCCTAGTTTTAAAGTTACAGGAAGTTAAAATTTTTTTCTGAGCAGCCTTTTGTAATTATTTTAAATATCATTATTTCTGGAGGATTATATTTGCTGGGGGTAATGTGGGTAGATGTCAAAAAACCACCGTCAGTATTTTTTGATACATAATTTTAATAAAATTTAATAATAAATAGACTAAATAAATAATTTATTATTATTATTTTTTAATTGTGATTAATAAAATTGTGTTTATCTCATCAACGAGATCGAAATCGATAACTTTTCAAGATACAACTTTTAGTTGGCATTAAGCGGCCTACACAATTTTGTAAATAAGAGAAAAACGTCAGTGGCGCACATGTTTTTTTTTGAAAAATATTCCAGTGGTAAACCATATGCACGTCCCTTTTTAGCATTAAAATATGTAGCACTTATAGTAACCTTTACTCTCAAAATTTCATTCAAATCGCTAAAAGCACTTGGAAGAAAATTATAGTAAATCGTAAAAAAATAGACTTTAACCCCGTAGCTACAAAACACAACAGAATCAGACCTATGTTGATATAAGAAATAAATCTTATTTTTACGTGAGGAATCTCCACACGAGAGATGGCACATGTTTTTTGACACTCATTGTATGATGCACATTTCATCTAAGACACCATAATAACGGTTTACAGCAGTACAAATACAAAAATATAAATAATTTACCGAGGTTTTGGTCATGTTGGCATAGTTCATGTAGCTAAAATTCAGCGCAGCTTCGTGTTCCATGAGCTGAGAGGTGAAGCAGGTGATGGAGCCTAGAAATAGACAGTAAAATAGCAGATTTGCCAGATGGAAGTATTTTCCGTAAGAGTTCCACTTCATTTGGAGATATTTCTGACTCAGTGGATGAGCTAGCAATTCTACTCGTCCATGAGTTACCATTACTAAAATAAATAATGAAACATATTGGGTGGTCTGAACAACAATTTTTAAAAACTTTTTTTTTTTTTAAATAATATTATAAAAACATCTAAAAGGCAATAAAAATATCTTTATATCCAGCTGCTTAAATCAAGAGTTAATATTACTATATGTAGATAGTAAATAAACCATTTATTTTAAGTTTACTTAACTGTAAAATTCTTAAATATTTGTTCATTTTAATGAAATTCACTGACAAGTTATCCAGAAGATAAATTCTAATATTAACTTACATTGAGAGCTGGTAAAGGCATAGGTTTCTCAGTATTTTTATCGTCGCCATTTTCCACAAGATTGTTACATTGAAGGCAACTAAAGTTATATTTTATCTAAAAAATAAACTCTATTTTACAAATGACCTTTATATTTATACGTATTATATTACCGAAAACGTTTTTGAATCCTTCTTGCAATTTGACTTCATTATTGACTTATCTTGAACTGCTTCAAACACTCTAGGCATCGCCGCTATCAGAGCCAAAGAAACTGATGGATATTTTGAAGATTTCAAGAGCATAGCAATGCAGCA